TTAAGCTATTTAGAAACAAAATTTGCTTTGTAATCGTTAGCTTTCTGTAGTGCGATATCATCATTTAGTTATCGATCTGCTTCAACACGATAGCGAAGAGTATGTAGAGTGCAAGAATAATGGAGTCTATCCAGAGATAGATGACATCACTTTAGCGCAGGATTGGTTGCTCACTCAGCCGTATTATCATTTTGCAGCTACCGTTCAACAGAATTCTCTATGGCTTTACAAATGGCAGATTCCTGGCAAATACTCAGTCGACTAGAGAGGATCAGCCATTGGTTCGTTGCTTACTGTTATGTTGGGGTTTGTAAAGTAGACGGTTATTTGTCATTCCCTATCCGCTTTCACAATATATTTTATCTCTCTGCAAATTGTATATCTGTGACTTGCTTACATTTAGTCGAGTAAAGATGATAAATATAATCTTTTTTTTCCCTTCTTTTTTCACTTTTGCTACAGCTAAACCATCTGACAAAATGGATTTTTACACTCCGCACTTTTGTTGGCATGTTTACTTTTATACGAGAGGAATGGATTTTTTGGGGTTTGATTTTTCTCTCGGTTTACTTTTTCACTTTTATGTTATATGAATATATAAGAATGTGTTGTTGGATCTTTGTAATGTAAAAATTTACAAAATTAGACTTTAAATTTCTACTTGATAGTTATGCGAATAAATAGTATTTTTACATAGACTACATCTTGATAATTTTCATATAAATTTACATGGAGATCTTTAACATTTTAAACATATTAAACTTGTTTAACTTTGGAGTACGAAAGATATGAAGAAAACATATTAAATTTTTAACAAAATGACAGATAAAATTAATGATTTTTCTCCACATTAGTATGAAAAATATGGCTTATATTTAATAATTAAAGTCACGAGATAATTTATAATATTTAACGAAAACAATTTTTTAAAATAAATTATTTCGAGGGGAAAAAATAAATATATGAAATTTAAAAAAAGGTAGAAAATGAGTAAGATACAAAATTAACGTTTTTGACAAGGAACTTTCCCCGATCTTACACTATATTGTATGCGTGTATGCGTCAGTCATGCCAAGCCTCTTCTCATTTACGTCCACCTAACAAACTTGTTTTTTGCTTGTCTTTAATTAACCCGACTACATCTTAATAACTCTTCCTATGTTATGTCAGATGGGCGAAACGCTTAACGTGCCCACGCGGTGCAAAGGAGACCCTCAGGCTCTTTCTCCTATATCAATCACAATGTTAGCTACTTTGATGTATAGGCTTATGTCTCGTATTTCCTGTTCATTGTGAAACTAACTTTGTGCTAGATTGATAGTTATTGAAAGATATTGTCTCTTTATAAAAAAATATTTAAAAAAAATTGAGGCTAAAAACTAGGTTATAATCTCTTTCTAATGGATGTTCCCTCTTCGATGGTTCATCAATTAAAACTTCATTTTTCTATCCTTTAATTAAATATAATTCTAGTTGATATGGATGAATTGTATATAGCCTATTGGATGAATTGTATATATACGGACCACAAACATTTTAAAAGATTTTTTATCTAACTCATAAATCNTTATAAGTTCTCTTATTGTTTTATTTTACAAAATTAATAGATTATTAACATTTAAGTCAATCTATTATAAAAGAGGGTCTGATATATGTTACTACAAGATTGCAAAGGTTTATAATCATGTTTGAAGGCCTAATTCTTTGACTAAACTAAATGCTGAAATTTGTGCGACCGCAAATTTAGTCCGTAATAACAACGTAATTAACAGTTTTATTGTTACTTTAGCCTAAATTGTATTTACTTTAGATGAAGTGGTACCACTAAACAACAGTAAATAATTATAATTAGTTTTTATAAAAATAATTTAAAGATTTATCAAAATTTCGAAAAAAATTTAATTTCTTCTTAATAACTTTCAGAAAGCTGATAGATACTTCATTATAAAACAAAATTATCGTAAAATAATCTAAAAATAAATTAATCATTAATTTTTTAATTGAGGAATAGATTTTATATTAATATTTCTTGAAAACTAAACGTGAAGAACATGAAAAGTATAGTAATTTATTCTAAGAATCTTTATTTTTTTTTGTGTTTAAAATGCTTTTATAATCGCAATAGCTTTCCTTAAACAATTTATCAATGTTAAACATAACTTTATATTTCTATATTTTGTAAAAGAAAAAAAAAGCTGTTGTGTTGACATATTAATGTTGACATACCTGCAGGCAACTAATTTATTATATTCACACAACTAATTAATTATTTTATATAAGAAGCGAATTCTCGATCACTTTGAAATTTCTCTACAATTTTTTCTTACTATTTTACATGGAATTTTTTACTTTAATATCAATTTTCTATTTATCAGTTTTGACATTAAATACTATAGATATGAGTTTTTCTCCTTAGGATAAAAATATTAAAAAGAAATCATCAAAGTCTAACCGCTTTCTTGTTGGAAGTTCACCAAACCTCACTTAAGTAGATATTTTACTTTTTTTTTTATCCTTACTCCCAACTGGTAATTACCTTGAATAATGTATTGGATCTTTATAGCAACAAGACTGGCTTCTAACAGTGTTCATATTAGTGTGATGAATCTCAAATTGCCTTTTTTATTCATGGCTACTTAGAAGAAAAGTATAAAAATAAGATGACAAATTTGAAAGTAGATTAACCGAAGGCAGAAATTGATTCAAATATCTTGACTGTTATTAAGTTTATGAAAGATATTTTGATAAATTTAATTAATTTTTTTCTGATAGTTACTATCTGGCTTTAAAATATAACTTGTATATTATTTTATTACCTGATTATTTGATGCTTTTTCATTGTTTTATGATCAATTAACCCTTGTTGTATGAACGCAAGGTTATAATCTACAAAAAATCTAACAATGTGATGACAATAGAGAATTTCTGATAATATCTTAATGGAAAATGTTAGAAAAGAATAAAAATTTTCTTATCTAAATATTGAAATGGGCTATTTATGCTTTATATTATATATTTTGGAATTGTTTTAAATTTAATTCTTAATTAGACTAGTTAGTTTCATAAGAAGAAGCATTGTAACTAACTACTGAATTTAAGCACTTAAAATAAGCAATTTCTCTAAAATCCAATTCTAAGTTCTTCAGCATAAAGCTCTTATTACCGCTTTTACAAGTGAGAGTTTCTATAATGTTTAATCTTTAAAAAATTCATTTCCTTTCTAAGAGTTTTTCCTCGTCATTTTACTTCTTTCGCGATAGTAAAGTGAAGTTTAAACTCGTGGTTTAAGTAGTAAATTTGCTATTTTCAAGCAAATAATCGTCCATTTGGAAACAATGGAATGCGCTTGGTTGTTTTATGTTTCAAAACATTAAACTAGAGAAGGGATACTTCGGTTAGCGTGCGTAATAATCGTAAACTACTTGTGACATTCCTTAACATCATTGTCTCGCCTTATTTGACGTCAACAGACCTTAATAACCGCCATTAATGGAGCCTTCCTCAAATATCATCCAGATACTGTTGTAAAATGTGATACAATTGGAATATTCTCGGTTCCGAGTGGTTCACATCAACACTCTCTTGATGGGGGGTCTGCATTAGACGGTTCCACGTTAGATTACAGGTTTGTGGAAATGATAGTCATCTGCCGCTCATACACCTGTCTCTGTACTGTAGAATGAATTGATTTCTCACGCAAACATACAAAAAAACCGGTCGGAGAAGCAATTTTTGTCGCTGCACTTGGACCCTTCTATCGAAGGTTATCGATTTGATGATATTTCGATATCATATAATGAATTAATTTTTTCATATGTGTCAAAGTCATACATCATCTTATATATAGATATTCAGATAATTTATGCAATTAAAATTTTTATTGTGTTTAGTTCATGTTAGAATAATCTTTAGCAAATTGAATATTCATGAAATATCAAAAAATAAAAATTAATTTTTTATTAGTTTATTATTATTACTATTATCAGTGGCAAGCCTTGTTATCAAAATTTGATCAAGGCTAAATCTAATGAATTTTTTCCAAATGTAAAATTTATGCGCTTAATCTGTAAATTTCATTACAAATTTCATTAAAAAATTTACATTTTTGAGTAATTTTAGAGTTTATTTGAAAGTATTTGCTTTTATTTAGAGATTTTGTAAATAAAAATTACGGAAATTTGGCCTAAACGCGATATTGTTGTAAAAAAATAAAAAAAATGTTAACTAAGTCAAAATTTAGAAAATTTTGATGAATAAAGTAGACATATTTTTCTAATTTTCAGCAATAACAGTAAGATCATTCATAATTACTTTCAATTATAAATATATTTAAATGATTTTGCTTAATAAATCAAGAAAATTTATTATTCAAACACGATTAGTACAGTCTAAGAAAAGCCATACAATGTTGCAATCTAGCCAACTGTTTATGGCCTAACGGCAATGACATGATTCCGACCGTGCGATTTTGATAGGTAGAAACTAATTTAAAANATAGTTGCGGATTGATTGACAGAAAAGTTTAATAAATTCTCGTTAAGATTTAAAGCACAGATACAATTTGTTTATTAAAATTTCTTAAAATTAGATGAAGTGGAAAATAGTAAAACAAGATTCTTTGTTCTTATACTAACAAACTAATCTATGTTTCTCGTTTTAATTAAAGATTTTAAAGAATTTCTCTAATTTTAAGAGATTTTAATAAATAAATAAATAAATTTAATAAAATCGCTGCAAGTTATGAAGAATATAATTACAGATACAGTTTCTTAAATATATTTCGATTGTAAGTTTTGTATGTGACATTCAAAATGACAGCCTTAATGTTTTTATAAATTAAGCTATAATTTTTTATTTTAAACTTTATAGGTCTATATGGGGGATATATAATATATATTTAGTTTATATTGAGTATAAAAGCAAATTATTTTATCTGTATTTTTATAAATGTAAATATTGTAAATGGAAAGTTTCTAAATCAAATTTTGTTTCATTTCTAGAATCTTCAAGAGATCATCTGAATCTCTTCAGTAATCGACAACAGCCAAAGAAAAAGAGAAAATCCAGGACTGCTTTTACAAATCATCAAATATTTGAACTAGAAAAGAGATTCTTATATCAAAAATACTTATCACCAGCAGACAGAGATGAAATCGCTCAATCGCTGGGTCTTACTAATGCCCAAGTCATAACATGGTTTCAGAATCGGAGAGCAAAATTGAAGAGAGATATGGAAGAATTGAAGAAAGATGTTACAGCTGCTAAGATTCAACCCATTCACTCAGCTTTACTCGACAATATAGAAGATCTCACTTTGTTAAAAAAGGAACTACATAAAAAGACTAATTGACCATTGTGTACATATTTTACTTTCAAAAGAATCTATAGCTATGCTTACAGACCGTGTGATAGTATAGATGCGGTAATACAAATTTAATCATTTAAATATGGCCATTTTTTAAAGTTTAATTTAATTATATAATGTAAATTTATTAAAAGATGTATTTGTAATTTATACTGTAAATGTGCTTCAAGTATTAAGAATTTATTTGCTTTAAAAGCTTAAAAAGATCTATGACAATTTTATGAAACTTTTAGGTCCAAGTAATGTGGACTAAGATCGAGCTTATATCAAATTAAAAAATAATGTATTCTATTTCATATATTCACTAAACGATTATTCTAATAACAAATTAATCTAGGTATTATCATTAAGTTTCTTTCAAATTATAAACTTTCTACAATTCTATTTTAACCTATCAACAGAAAAACCTAAATTAAAAATATTTTATATTTAAATCGTTTAAAACACATTTTTAAAAAAATATCTGGAAGACCATATTAATTAAATAAAATATTCTTTCTCTGTTCCTCGAAAACTGAGTTTATTTTTATCGAAAACTAATTCTATGCTTATAGAATTTGATTCAAACATGTTATTTCAGTTGCGAAATATGAAACACTATTAAATTTATCAATTTTATATCTTACTTTATATCACAATCCTCAATTTATTCCTATATTTATGTATTCGGAAACCATAAAGCGTCAACTAGCAACTTTCTAGAATATATTAATGTAGATCTAATATGTTTTGCTACAAGCCTACAGATATTAGAATTGAAGAGTTTTAAGTATAAACTAAGAAGAATTTAACTATATAGGCCTACATAAATAGTGTAGAATTTCTTATACATATTGGAAGTTATGTAAATTTCCTAACGTGTGAATAGACTTTCCTAGTCTATCTTCACAGAATTTGACTTGTAAAGCTGTATAAAATAAATAATTTTCTAGAAATTAATTATGCTCATTTATAAAATAATTTAATCAACCAAAAAACATTAATCGAGCTAAGTCAATTAGTTATAAATTGTTATTAATTTCAAGAGAAACAATAGAATATATCAAAATTCATCTAGCATAAGTGATTCATTAAGAATGCAACGATAACATTCTTCAACTATAAATTAAATTTATAATACTTAATCTTTTTAGACGAGGGGAAAAAACAATTAACTTTAATATCACAAGAAAACAAAATAATGTAGACAGAAAAAATAAAGAAAAACGGGTATGTTATTAAGGGAATTTTCTCGGCTGTAAAATTATCCAACACGAAATTAGTAAATTTATGACATTCTAATTATCAGTTATATCATAAAAAATTTTTTAAACAAATTACCGAACATTTTAACAATTTATGTAAAATATAATGAAAATTATATCTAAGCAAAATAATTGCAGTTGCGTCACGCAAATTTGAATAAATCACAAAAGACTTTCATAATATTTAACATACTAAAACTATCTTGTTTTTATGCAAAAGTTTGATTCCCGACTTTCTAATTAAATTTACCTTTAATTATAAGTCACTCGTCACGAAAACACAATAAAATTTGTGTAAATTTAGACAAAATGATTCACGAATTGTCCATTTTGAAGCAATGCAAACGTTTCGAGTAAATCGTAATGCACTTGAGATAATACAGTAATCAACTGGAAATAAAAATAATAAACTTCGACTTAAAGTTTTGAGTGCTTGTAATAAATTTTTTAAATGAAAAACCTGAACAAGTACTTCTATGGCTTCCGGCTAAGCTGTAGATAAATATTAAGAGGCAAATATAGCAAATTTGCTTCTATATGTCAAATATTGTGATTTCGGATATCAATAATGATGCAATCAATCATCTTCGGGCATTTTAACTTCTATCTTGACGTTATAAGCACCTGATGAATCTTCTTTAAGTTGTTTTTACTAGTTGAAGCCAATAGGCCTATACAAGCGTCAAGTATCCTTCAGAATAATTCGTTGTTAGATGTTCCATAATGAAAAAAATTAACTTAACTACGCAATTTATGATTATATGTTATTAAATTTTATTTTAAAATTTCCTAATTTTTACATTTGACTATGATGTAAAACATAATTCATTATGACAAAGATAATCTCTAAGATTTAAATAAATTCAAAAATTACAAATATATTTATTAGTTATGTTTTTATTTTAGAAACAGCAAGTCTACATCTACTTTTTTTTTATTAGTTATGGGAAAGAATTTTTTTAATGTAATAAATTCTCTACGTAATTCTTCTTTTAGTTATCAATGATAGGTCCTACTCAGTTATTAAAATTATGACCGGAATCGTAAAACTTCTCGAGTTCCCTATGGATTGCACATGGCTCGATTCTGAGTCAAGTGATTTAGGAGAGTAGCTTACGATGTGTAGTAGACATACAGAAACCAGGACGTCTGTCATGTCCTCTGTTTACTTTCTTACGTCCACATCTCTTTCTGTCTTCATTATTCCTCGAGAACCACCGAGAATCACCTGTTAACCACACATCTAATAGTCTAGATGGCTTTATTTATTTACAAGTATATATTTTCTAAGAAATATTGAATTATTTCTTATCATACCCCCTGATGCCACTTGGATCTGGATTGTGTATTCAGCCAGGGTGGCCTGTCACTTGTTCCTCTTCCTCACCTAAGAGAGACACACCTGTTTCTTGCTTTGATGGAGTCAGTTGACAGTTTTATTGTATGTCACGACCATTCCTCCCTCTCGAGTTCAGACAGTCTCATTGTCGATTGTTTCCTTAGTGAAACACACTATTTTTACACTGTTTAAATGTTATTCTAGTATTCTTATTTAACTTCAAAAAATTTGTGAAGTTTAAGAAGCATCTAGGCTTGATATAGCCTATATTTATTTATAATAAATTTTTGTTCAAAATTACTTAAAAATTGAGAATATTCTTTATTATCCTGTTTTTATTATGTAACAAAATTTTAATAGTGAATAAAGTTTCCTTGGCCTGTAAAATAATAATAAATTTATTTACATATATAAAAAACATTTAAATAAAATCAAATTTCATATAAAGTTATAATTAACAAACAAGATCTGAAGATATACTTGCAGCGCTTTATTTTGATCAAAGTATAAATAAAGTTCAATACAGCACGCCAAATTAAATTATTTTTTACTTTACATTAACTGGAGTATACTTTGAGTTATTTTAAAATTTATTTATAAGTTCTCTTATTGTTTTATTTTACAAAATTAATAGATTATTAACATTTAAGTCAATCTATTATAAAAGAGGGTCTGATATATGTTACTACAAGATTGCAAAGGTTTATAATCATGTTTGAAGGCCTAATTCTTTGACTAAACTAAATGCTGAAATTTGTGCGACCGCAAATTTAGTCCGTAATAACAACGTAATTAACAGTTTTATTGTTACTTTAGCCTAAATTGTATTTACTTTAGATGAAGTGGTACCACTAAACAACAGTAAATAAAAAAAAGAACCTAATACTTCTTATTAATTGACAGAAACACTTCTACAATCGCTACTAATATAAGAGATATTCTTTCTTATAAAAGATTAAAAATTTAATAAAATTAAATCTTAAAATAAATTTACGAAGTAAATATTTTAAAAGCATTACATTTTCATCCTAATGTTTAAGTTTAAGACTTGTTAAATTCACTTAATTCTTACTGTTATTAGATATCCTACAAATAAATAAGAATAGGCATTACAAATTCCCATTTGCTCTTATTTACTGTAGGCCTAATTATGATTTATTGTACATTTTTTCGATTAATAATTGTTAGATCTGTATTTAAGAAAGACATGATTAGAGTTCTGACGAAACCATGCTATAGAATATGTTTATTCATATTCACGCTTAGAGTAAAATATCACTTCGTTTTTACTTGTTAGTGCTAATTAGAACTTATTATAATGCATAATATTTTCAAATGGATATAAATAGTAATGAATTTTCATTAATGCAATTATAAAAATGATTTTTGTACATCTAAGCAAGAGTGCTACGTTGGATTTGTTCTTGTCTCCACGGAACACATTTTAATAAACGGAATGAATGTTAATCATAACAGAAACTCATTTACTTGAATCGAATAGTTCTTTCAAAGTGATTAACAAAGTTATCGGACTCTAATTATATAGATTACGATTTTAATAATAATTTTAATTAAACAATAAAGCTTTTAAATTGTTTACACATCTAAATAAGCTTATCTAGAGCGTGCATAGCTCATTAGTGAACCCAATTAAACACTAATTGCGATTTCCATTGAAACAACAAATTTAATTAGACTCTAAATTATCGATAAAAGTTGAAAAATTTAAATTTAATTTTGTAAGTAGTAGAGATTATTTAAACTTGTTGCAATTTAGCGGAGAATTTTGAATGCATTTTAATCTCCGTTTATTGCCATTAATTGAAATTTATTCGCATTTAATCTTGTTATTAATTACACGATATGGATAAGCTATTGGTTACCGGTTAATTTAAATCGAAATGAAAGCTTGAAGCGAATTAGAATCGCAGTTAAGTAGAAGTTAGATTAGTTTCACTGCTCCGAAGTATTAAATGAACTTTGCCGAGACTGTTTCCACTCGTATAGTTACTGAATAAAAATAATGCACTAGTCAACATTGTAATTTAATCTTTAGAATCCACTTAAAAAGACTTAAACAATGTTTGTTTATGTCAACGGTGCACTACAATACACTTTAGTCTGTTTATATTAGTTATGTACTACACTCAATTGGGTCTAGGCGTCGTTTAAGTGCAGTTATTCTCTTCTCTAATAACCATATGAATTGACACTATTCATCGAAAATAATTACTCAATTAAAAGTAAAGTAACGAAGTCGAAAAGCTAAATTTTCATTTTTTTCCCCCTTCGACGAGATAAATCGATATTCCGCCGAGTTATGTAACAATGGATTTTCGTAATAGATTCTCAACCAGTAAATTTTCTCTTACTATGACTGATTCTACTGAATTATAGCTGTCAAAAAGCGTTT